GCACATGTGCCCGTAATATAGGCTCTCGCCGTGTCTCAACCTCTTGTTAATGAAAACCAAGAATCGCATCAGACCATCGTCACACACGCCATAGAATCGCATAGTCGCCTCATACACACAAGTATTTCAAGCGTCAACGCTCTTTGCTGCCAAACCATGTCGCTCAATCTTTCCTGGCCAGCCGCGACCATGCGCGCAGTGTTTACCATGGCACGCCTTTCGAAATGATGGTACAAGATGTCGCCAAGCCAGCCATCCTGAACGAGACGGATGTCGTTGTGCGGGTGACCACCCGCGCCGTATGCGGATCCGACTTGCACATCTATCGCGGCTACATGGGCGGTGCGGTGCCATGGACAATGGGCACGAGGCCGTCGGCTACATCCGGAGATTGGCGACGCCGTGTCCTCCTTCGCCGTTGGGGACTATGTCATCATTCCCGACACCGTGTCTGAGGATCATATGGAGATGGAGCCGAGGTCGAAGGAATACTTCGGCTTCGGGAATAGTGAGATGGGTCTAGGCGTCTGCAAGGTACGAATATGCCTGCTCATATGCATCCGGGCATGCCAAGAGAGGATTGCTGACAAGAAGATGCGCAGCTGAATACGCGAGGGTCCCTTTCGCTGAAGCCAACCTGATCCCCATCCCATTGACTCACGAAACCGCCAATTCGACGATTGAGCGCGACTACCTGACCGTTTCGGACATCTTCGCTACGGGATGGGCCGGCATCGACTACACCGGATTCGAACCCGGCGATTCCGTCGCCGTCTTCGGGGCGGGTCCCGTTGGGCTGCTTTCTGCCTACTCGGCCATTTTACGTGGAGCGTCCAAGGTCTACGTCGTCGACCATGTGAAGGAGCGCCTGGATCTCGCCGCTTCCATCGGCGCCATCCCGATCAACTTTGCTGACGACGACCCCGTCGCCCAGATTCTGGCTAGCGAGCCGAACGGGGTCATGCGCGCCGTAGACTGTGTTGGCATGGAGGCGTTGAACTCGAGCCTTGAGATGGACGAGAGCATTATCACACAACAGATGGTTGACGTGACGCATTTCAAAGGAGGCATAGGCCAACTGGGCGTGTATAGTTCACAGGACGATTCGCCTGGCGCACCGTACGGCAGCGACATCTCGCCCACGATTTCCTTCCCCGTCTCGTCCTTCTTCGCCAAGGGCTTGAGTTTCCGAACAGGGGCCGTTGATCCGAAGCAGTACGCTCCACAGTTGATCGACCTCATCAACAGCGGCAAAGCCCACCCAAGCTTCGTGATCAGCGCAGTCATTGGCATCGAGGACGCGCCAGAGTACTACGAACGCTTCAATGGGAAGAAGGAGACCAAGGTAGCCATCCGCTTTCCGGAGTAGGACGGCTTACTTTACGAGGCTTTCGTTGTGTATGTAGAGGAAAGTAAGGCAGTCTAAGTAATACATACGAATTCCTCTCGGTATCTCGGCCCGGAGTCCTGGAATCATGTCTCAATACGCCAAAAGCATACGTGTTGCACGGCCTGCAGGGCATTCTCCTGGCGATCCGGAGGTTCGCTCAGATCCCGCTTAGACATTTATATGTATATCTTCAAGCCTTTTTGTTTGGACCTGGCCGACTTCGCGAGCTGGCAAGGTAGTTCGACGGTGCCATATCAAGATGCTTTGCACCTAACCTCGCCGGCGAGATGAGACAGCAGGCAAGCGCGTTTGCATCCGTACAAATGTATCTGACAGTCAAATTGGGCAGTTGCGACATTGTGCGCAGAATGTATTGAAAATTGCTATTGGAGCCAAAGAGCAAGCAGGTTTTATTTGCTCAAGGGGGAGGAAGTAGAGAATGAATGTGGCAGGATGGAGTCGCGTGATGGAGTGAGGGAGCGATGGCAGATACTCGGAGAGTGAAATTTACCGCTAAGCTTAACACCAACAGTCTGCCTCACGGCTTGACCAGCTGAATGCGCCTCAGAGGCTGTGAGAGTTGGCTGACAAGCCTATCTGCATAAGCTTGCAAAGGTGGACTGGCAGAGTATCATGAGCCACCGGATGACAAGGCGCTGTGTGCTGGCGTTTGCGAGGGTGTGCAGGGTCTCTACGCTGAACTTCCTCTGCCTTGACCAGGGGCCCGAATCCACTGCCAAACGGACTGGGGTCCTGCATTGTATTGCTCAAGTTCGGAGAGTGCTCTGCGAGCTAGGCTTCGCCGCGGCCGCATGTACAGACCATGTCCAGAGACTGTATAAATACATGTCGGCAGCCTGCAGTCTTTTGCACACTCTTGTCTGTATTCCATCACCAAGTCTCTGCTCTATTCAAGCACCTTTTGCTTGCGAGATCAAAGTATATAATGTCTCATCTTCGTTCTTTTCTCTCTGGCAATGGCAATGTATCTCATCAGGGTGGTAGTACCAGGACCGCCTCGACGGCCACGCTCACAGACGGTACTAACATCTATGGAATCTACACCCCCAGCCTCACCCACGACAGTAAATTGTCTGAGCTTGTTGTGAGACCGTCGGCACCGGAGCCCACGGTATTATTGCGCGAAATACAACAGGCTGCCGATGACATATCACAGCTCGTTGGGCGATTTGGATTCAAGATGGCAAGAACGCTTACGACTCCTCCTATCAAAAAGGCGCTTTTCGCGGACAAGAAATTGCTTCGACTACCATGCCTAATGTACGCAGACGAATTCTCCTGTGTGATCACGAGGTTCTGTTCCAAACCAATCCACGACTCGACTTCGGCACCGCTTCTGTGGTGGCTCTGGAACGAGCTACTCGACTACCTGCCGCCGATAGGCGAAACGCGGAAGTGCAGACTCGACTTCAACCCCGCCTTGAGGGCTGACATAGCCCTGCCCTATGCGATCACCATCGACATTTCAAGCAAAAACAACAAAGACAACATCGAGCTTACTGCGTCGTATGGCGGGCTATTCGATGAGCGCCGTATCTTCGATGCATCTATCACCCGGTTTGACTTCCCCAAGGCGGAAAAGTACGGCAAGCTGACCATGGCTACCCTGGACATCGACCAAAATCCGTACGAAGGAAATGGCTGCATCGCCCACATTTTGGGATACCTCGTGCCTCGTCTGGAGAGCAACTGGCGGCCTGCCATGGAGGCTTTTCCTTCAGAGAAAGAGGAGGACCTTATCATCGCTCTAGCTAAGACTTACAAAGCGGGAGACGACCGCTTCCCCATATCGGAGAACCAACAACAGCAGTTCCGGAACCTGCTACGGCGCTTTCCGATCGATGCCAGGGAATACGTAGTCGAGAATGGGCTCGTAGGGATGGAGAAGGGACCGTACAGCCAGTCTGCATTTCAACCCCCAGGTCCGAAGGACTAGGATGTAGACGAGTGTTTATCTACTAGTGTTTGATCAGCGCCATCGATCTCATCTTGCATTCGGGCTTTTCCCCCTTCCCACATAACCTAAGTAGATAGGAAACCCTGAATACGTACGTCTCCAAGCATGGTGTTCTCGCTGATATCTTTCAGCTCGCACCACAACTGAAGTCTATGCCATCAACACGTCCGTCACGGAGCGTCATGATGCACAGAAGCACTGCAGACGCTACCAGTAAGCAAAAAAGTAATTTGTGATTTTCATTTTCATTTTCGATGCTGTATTACTGGCAATAACGCTGCAAAGTGTTTGCCATAGACTCAAGCGTACCTTCTAAACAGAGACAGCGTCAGCAAGAATAGAAATTCCTTTCACCATGTAGTCCTCACTTTCTACTACATCATGTGGCAGACATAATGGCTGCTTATTATCTTAACCATGGCCAGGTAATCCAAAAAGCGCTATTGGGCAAGACTACGGATAGACTCACCTCTTGATGGCAGCAAGCCAATTTAAGCTCTTGTCATGCACGAACCCCTGCGGCAAGAGACCCATTCGACTTGGGGGTGAACCCTGGAAAGAAAGATATGAATACTGCTGCTTTCCAGAATGCAGTCATCCAGCGACCTACGACTAGTGGAAAGCTAACAAATAGTGGTTTATATAGGCGAATGATTGGTTGGCATCTATTGTCATTCTTGTTAATCGAGGGCTCGCCTTACATCAACGTCAACAAATGCTTACATGTCACGGCTCTGCAAGCAGAAACGACGCTATACTCATACCATCAAGACTAACCATATAAACCCTCCTGCCCTCGCGCTCATTTCTGCCGCGATGTGCAACCTTGGAATCCGGTGGGAATAAAGATGCAAGTGATAGAGCTGTTATGAATGGATTGTTTCTACATCAAAGCCTGGACTTCGGAGCCTGCTCTGCTACCATGTCGTCCGTACGAGCCCCAAAAGCCGGCAAGGCCTTGATGAAGTCCTCCATGGCTCCCTCTTCAACCAAAGGCGCCGTGATGTACTCTTTAGCATTGGCCCTTTCCACCAGCGTGGGCAAGAGGGGCAATAAGTTGGAGTACGCCCTGTTCTCGATATCCCGCAACGCAGATCGAGTGCCGTAGCCGTGTTCGACAAACCAGGATGGATCCCTCTGAATGCAAGACTTTTCAAACACATCAAGCACCTCGGGCGCGATATCACCTTGCGCCTGGGCTGCCTCGTAGGCCATGCGCTGTCCGATGGCCTCCACCATAACTCTGCATCGAGGGAGAACGCTGTTGTTGTAGGTCGTGCCCCTCAGGCTGCCGGATACGCCGAGTGCGAGGTTTTTGTCGCTCACAACCTCTTCGAGCATCCCGGCTTCATACATGGCAAGAGATCCTGTCGGATCGGTTGGTTGTGGAAGGCCATATCTGTTCATGAGGAGTTCAGAAGCGAGACCTATGAGGTGTCAGGACCCATGTCTAAGCTCATGTGCGAAGAAGACCTACGAATGCTTATAACGAGCGTGTCGCCCTCGGCCACGGAGTTCCCTTGAAAGGTCGATGCGAGTTCGGTTATCTGGTTGTGCGCGTACAGGCCCTGCCAGCCACATCGCTCCGTCAGCTCGTGAAGTAGACGAGACGATCGCACAACCAAGACTTTGAAGACGGTAGCGATCCCTCTGCGGACGTCTGCGTTGTGGTTTTGGTTCATAAACTCGCCAACGCTCCACTTGGCGTATGCATGCAGGACTTCTCCGTGCGCCAGTGCTTCCAGGATCGGTCTCTGCTGTGTGCTGAACTGCATGATGGGCTGTTTGTCCCTATCTCCGACCATACGACGCCGGCTGTACAGGGCGGCGATACAGCCCGCAACTCGGATGGCAGACACCCCATAATAGAGAGAGAGAGCGTGCCGACGGACACCCTCCATATGTGGGCAAGAAACCCCTCTCGCTCGTTGTCAGCTCGCGATGCCGATCCCAGAAGCGCTTCGGGCTGAAGCCGCACGTTGTAAAACGTCGTGATGGAGTGGTCCAGCGGCTTGGTGCCGGCCCGCACAGGGAGCACACGCGACACAACGCCGTCACACATGCCTCTCGCGTCGTTGATCCGCACGACAAAGGGCTTCACCCCTCGGTCGTCGCCGTCCACGATGAGCCGGGCGAAAACAACAGCAACGCGGGCCATGCCGGCTAGCGGCGAGGATGGCGGCATTGCTTTGGCGGCGCCTGCATTCGGCGTGTTCAGGGTAAAAGACCCGTCGGCTTCCATCGTCGCAGTCGTCTCCAAATTGCGGGCGTCGAGGCCATGGCCGACCTCTGTCAACATGAATTCTCCACAAGCCTTGAAAGTGAGGAGTTCCTCGAGGGTGGCCGTGAGATCAGGCCGCTCGCGTGAGAACCTTGCAATCGTTCCGACACATAAGTTGAGATGAATCGATGCGATGACGAAGGCTGTCATGTCCCGAGAAGAAATGGCTGGCAGATAGTGGCTGAGCATGATGTACGGCAGGCATGGAAGAGAACGTACGATCGAAGTGGAAGTCCCAAAACCTTGGGGTCAGCTTATCAATGTCGTCGACTGTGAGGCCTGAGCTGATGTTAGCATGGCGGAGTCCGTTTCGATGATGTGCGTATTGGCGACGCGCACCTCTGCTCAGACAAAGCGACTTGGCTCGTTCATAGTGCAGCGGGATGTTTGTAACTGATGGTTCGTGGCGGCTGTCCCTTCTCGCATTCCAGACTTCGTCGACCAAAAGCGACGTGTCGAACTTCATGGCGAAGGAGATGAAAGCCGAGTGACGTTGTAGGAGAGGCGTAACGAAGATGGGGGTTAGCCCAATAGCAAGGATACGTGCTAAGGGAAACCTGGAAAGACAGTTTGACTCTGAGGTTGGCAGCGGTGATGTCGGGGGGTTTTGTGTCTCGATAAATGAACCCGCCTTTTGTACCAGTCAGCCGCTGTACGGCCCCCTTCGATTAACGTAGTCTCGTTGTTCGAGCGAGAAGGGTACGCGTCACAAAAGGCTCCTCATCATATTCGTTCGCGGAGTCAATTTCAGTCTGCCAGCTTACTTCTCCACATCCGAATCGAAGCAGCGGCTATACTGGGTGCAAAGCGACTATCGGCTCTATTTCCAAGCACGGCCGAAAGGTGACCGTAGGATCCTGTTTCTGTTTTGTCTCGACTTACCCATAGTCACAACTCATCTCAGCCGTGCGACATATATCATCTACATATTTCAGAACTGGTCTGAGAAAGCCATGAGAGGTAGCGTAAACCGTAGTGCATACATCCTCTTCATTCTTCTCCTATACCTTTATTGCGGCTTGTTTACCCCACTACCACAGCCTACGACGCTGACCATGAGCATCACAAGATCCGTCGAATACTGTCACAGACTTCGACAGCTGGCCGCGGACCAGCTGCGAGCCGTCACAGAGTATACTATTCGAGGTCGTATGGGTCCTGAGCAGGAGCTGGCCTTGCAGACAGAAATCCTCAGGATAGCCGCGAACATACAGCGAATGATGCCGCCATTGGTCGATCAGGGAGGAGAGGGCCGCGTTACTTCCGATCAAGCCGGTATATCGCTGTTGCAGGCCTCTGACGATACAGCCTCATTACGTGGCACTTCTGGCGAGAGAGTATAGCGGCGGCAAGCTTCATGTACCTAGCTGTTAGGTATGAATGATCAGTTGCGTGAAAATACGACCAATTTGCTGATGACAGTAGCAGTCGATGCACACCCTACGATGGAGTCACAGTAGTGGAACGCATGACGCTATTGATAGGAGTTGGTATAGACGAGAATGGGGTTTCCGCCATCGTGCAGCGTATTCCACATTTCAAACTTCGTCAGTTGATCAAAAGCAAAACACCAAAGACCTGCACAGGAACACGGTATCTCTCACACCACGCAATCACACATGATCTATTGTCAGACGGCACCAACTGTCATGCGGTCTTTGGACATACACATCTTGACCATTTCCTACAGTACATAGTTTATAATTCAATGCTTGTTCGTGCCACGCCAAGATGGGAAGCTAGTTCACCCGGTCTCACGACCATTCTCATATCACCCTTTGAGCTGACACTATCACAACCGATGTCGGTTCTATGTTCATGTACCAAAAGTCTGTTGACAGGCAACCACTTGAGAGAGATTGCCTGTGTTAGCTTAAGGAGCGCGGTCCGACGTGCCTTGCTAGCCGGGAAACTCGGTTGTCGTGTCCGTGTAAGCCAAAACTATTTCCGCCGCCATGCCAGCCCCGCCTTTCCGGATAATGTTAGGAGGCCCCTTTTTGTTTCTGGGTGGGCTCTTCTCGGCCTTGGAGCAGGAAGTCCATGAGTTGACGAGTCTCCGGATGGTGCAATCTGAAGGTGAGGGCGGCGACTCGATGCAAAGGTAGTCAAGGTAAAGCACCATAAGTGACCTTAGCTGACGCGCGAGACCAGTTCCGCCGATGCAGTCGTTCTGGACGATGAAGGTGGGGGTGGCCGGTCGAGAAGGTGGGGTGAATGGTCACATCCAAAAGATGTTCTATCGGATGGTCTCGCCAGGTGTTGGCGCCAGATCGGGCCGCACCTAGGAAAAGTATATACCTCGTACTCGCCCTACGCCCCGGGCCGGAAGCCGTCTGCGGAGCCTCTTCCGTCTCCTGCATTCTTCATTAACTTCTTGCCTTTGTTCCCCATCTGACAGTCCAGACCCAGCACCCCGGTCGCTCCACATTTTCGTCGCTCAGTCTAGACCCGGTCTAGACCCCGTCTGCCAAAAGCCAACCGCCAGCCGTTTGCTCATCTGGAAGCCGCAAGTTTGATGTTTCCCACCAACCCCTGCCACAACGCTCACCCAGCGATAGTCCAAGATGCAAGAATGTTTGTTTTTCCAAAAGCACACAGTGGGGCCTTGACGTCATCGCACAACGAACAAACCTGCCCCTTTCCATGTTGCAAACTTACAGCAGAGGAGAGGAGGCCGATGAAAGTATAAGTAGGGAGGTCTTTTCCCACTTGGAATCGGGAGTTTCTTGGTGGGCTGGGCTTCCAGTCCCACCCCGCCGCGGAGATGCCGTTGACCCTGTGTTGACGCTGCCATATGGCGGTGCCGTTGATGCATTTCCAACGACACCGGGCAACGGTTTCTTTGCATTTCCTTTGTATCCCGTCGAATGGGTATTCTCGACGTTGCCGGGCAGCGGTTCTGCACTCTGCATCTCCTTTGTATCCCGTTGATGATCATCCCAACGTTGCCGGGCATCGGTTCTGTATCTCTTTTGTATCCCGTCGAATGGACATTCTCGACGTTGCCGGGCATCGGTTCTGCAGTCTGCATCTTCTTTGTATCCCGTTGATGATCATCCCAACGTTGCCGGGCATCGGTTCTGCATCTCCTTTGTATCCCGTCGAATGGACATTCTCAACGTTGCCGGGCATCGGTTCTACATTTCCTTTGTTTTCCGTTGATGACCATTCCAACGATGCCGCCGAGATGCTTTTCCTCGAGCGATGTGGGCGGCGAAATTCGGACTCTGCAACCTCCTCGTGGTGCCGCCTGGGAACCTATCCTTTTCAGTGATAGAGCCAGTGCAGAGACGTGACAGCGTATGACAGCGTGTGACAGCGCGTGAGTGCCTGGGACGGCGGATGTCACGCGCTGGCTATTGGGCAGTTATGTTGTTGTTGTTGTTGTTGTATTTAACGCCGTGGCGGCCGGGCTAGAGCCCTTACCGCAGACCTCCCGAAGGGTATATGGCGTGGAGGGCCGTGAGCCAAGGCTACCTACTCTACAGTACGTCGTCTCTTTACATCGTCCTCCAAATCATGCCTTGTGGCCACTACGCGTTCTGTCTGTCCCCGGTTCCCGCTGGTGCCCCAGTTTCATTCTTTCCCAAATCGTCCCTTGGAATCGGGAGGTTCTTTGTAGTCCGCACTCACATCTACGTAGGTGTGGATGCTGCTACCGCAGACAGATCTTCTGGAAGAAGTCCGTCACGCGGAGAAAGGCCTCGAAGCCTCGTGGGTCGGTGATTAATCTCTTGAAGTAGGCCTCGAGAGATCCCATAGGGCCTATGGGCTCGGGCATACTGCGAGAGTGGAGGGTCGGCCACCGTTGCCTCCTCGCCAGCGTTAGTCGACAGTAGACCAGGTGGTCCACGTCTTTCGCCTCTCCACAAGAGCACATCATTAGAGCGTCGTCGTGGTTGAAACGTCGGTGATATTGCTCGAAGTCCCCGTGACCCGATCGTGCCGCCAGCAGGTGATGTAACGTAGCCCGCGGCAAGGCCAGTTCAGGAGGGCTGGACAGAGCTGCCTCAAGCCCCAAGTCCGCGTACCGCGGCCTTCGCTCTTTATACCACCATCTCCTGTGCTGGCTTTGTAATTTTTCCCTTGCAAGCCGCTTGATGCCCGCTAGTGTTGCCATTTGACCCATCCGCGCCGGCAGTGTCGTTCCTTCTTTGGCCAGCCGGTCCGCGGCCTCGTTTCCTTCGATGCCCTGGTGTCCCGGGGACCAGTGCGTCCGTATATCAAATATCCTGGCCGCTTCTTGGATTTCGAGGAACGCGTCTTGTGACGAGTCCGGCGCCTTGCCGCGGATGCCTTGTATAACGCTGGTGTTGTCGATACATATGTGGATTGGATGACCGCGATTGGTGAGCAGAGCCCTTCTGAGGCCGGTTCGCGCCCCTTCGACCTCGGCGTCGAACACTTCTGCTAGTCCGAGTCGGCCGCACCCTTGTGCTATGCGTTTGGAGTCTCGGTAGATGACGAAGCCGTACCCCACGGCTCCGTTCGTCGCCCTGGAGCCGTCCGAGAAGACGATCATATGGCTTTCCGGTACTGTCTTTAGCCAGCGCTCGAAAGCTTTCGCAGCCTCTTCTTTGCATTGAACTACTATCTGATCCTGTGAGCTTGGCAGGTACTGTGATTGAAGGAACGCTGGTCTTCCGCATCTTGGCAGAAGTTCAGCCGTCCGTTGTAGTCTCGTCTGTTGCTGTCCCTGCTGGGAGAGCCGCGCGACTAGCGGGTGTCGGCGATCAATCCTCTGTAGTCGGACTGCGGCCCGTAAGCGGACGCCCTCTAAGGCGACTTTGGCTGACGGTAAGCCGGCGTCTCGGAGGAGGCTACTGGTTGGCGTTGTCCTCCAGACAGGCAGAACGGCCCTTGCTGCCGCTGTAATGACGCTGTCGATCTTCTGCACGAGCCCCTTTTGGCCTGTGTTGACGGGTCTTCCTTGGAGAGGCGGATTCGTGTCTGTCTCCGCTTGGCGTCTCGAAGCCGGCTTCGTGATACCTGCGTACCATGTTTCGGCGCCGAAGAGCGCGATCGGCAGTACGCAGGAGACGACGGCTTTTCGCACGGCGGCCGCTGGGAGTCCCCTCTTTGTGTTCGTAAGCTGTCTCAGATGTTGAGCTGCCCTCTTTGCTGCAGCTACTTTTGCGTCGACATGGTGCCGGAAGGACAGTCTCTTGTCGAACCAGACACCCAGCCAGCGTACAGGTTTCGTCGAGGCCTTGACCACCAAATCCCCCGCCCGGACCTCTGGCAGCTCCGCTGGCTGGCCGTGCTTCCTAGTAAAGTGGATGACCTCGCACTTGCTCGGGTCAAAGGAGACCTTGTTCTCCAAGCCCCATCTGAGAATGCCGGCTGCGCTTCGGTTGAGTATTGCGACGTTGCTCTCCAGGGAGGGGCTGATGGCCAGAGTGGCGATGTCGTCCGCGTACCCGAATCGCGCGTTCGGGTCGTCTTCAAGTATCTCTGCGATGTAGAGCAGAAAGGCAATGGGAGATAGTGGTGACCCCTGAGGCAGCCCGCATGACAGCGGGAAGTACTCCGTTGTGCTTTCTTCCAGTCGGACTCTAGCGGTGCGGTTGCAGCAGAAGCTAAAGATCAGTCTGGTCAGGCCATGTGGCCATCCCTGCTGACGCAGTCTAATGACGAGCCGGTTCCGAAGGACGGAGTCGAACGCCCCTTTTACGTCCATAGTCAGAAGTGTCGCCGTGAGTCCTTTTAGGAGGGCCATCTCGATGTCGTGGGTGAGGCAGGTCGTCAGATCGACGGCTGACCTGCCTTGTAGAGCCCCGATCTGTTGCGGACTGATGATGCGCTCGACAATCGCCAGGGACGCCATCCTTCTGGCTATCAGTCGCTCTAGTCCCTTGCCCAGGCACGAGAGGAGCGCGATCGGCCGCCAGGACCCGGGCTTGGAGGCATCCCTGCCGGCCTTCTGGATCATGACCACCTCAGCTCTGCGGAAGGGCAGAGGAAAGTGGCCGGCCCGCATACAGGACTGGAATAGCTGCCTGACCGGTTCCGAGATGACATCCCAGCATGCCTGGAGGAGGCGTGTTGTGATGCCGTCCACACCAGGGGTCGTTGTCTTTGTTAAGGTGGCCGTCTTCACTTCTTCTCCGCTAACATTGTCCTGCCAAGTAATCGCTCGCCTCGGGACGACGGGTACGTCAAACGGGTCACCCGGTGCGTCATCTTCCGCACTAAACCTGTCGAGAAGGGCTCCCCGAAGCGCTTGAGCCTTTTCGTTAGTATCCTCGATCGTCTGGTTGTCCACAACCAATGGGGGTGCTCTGGTCAGTAGGCTCGCCTTCCGCCAACCCATGATCTGGTACAGGTCCCGGTCTGAAGCGACTCCATCGATCTTTCCGGCCCAGTATGCTCGCTTAGCCTTCCTCACCGTGCTCAGGAACGCCTTTCGTTTCTCCATTAGATAAAGGTGCGCATCTTGCTCCGTCTCCCAGGCTTGTTGGTTGCGGGCAGCACGGTATGCTCTGTGGGCCTCTGCGCATTCCTCCGTCCACCAAGCCGCGCCTTTACCATGTTTTCCTCTCTTCTTGCCGACCGCCTCAATGGCTCGGGAGAAGAGCTCGACGATGTGACTTGCCTGCCCGTCCAGGTCTTCCGGAGTAGGTTGATCCCCCAGATTGGGCATCGCAGCTAGCCCCCCTTCGATCAGGTCTCTCAGCCGAGGCAGCGCCGAGTCGGGCACTGACAGTGGCCGTGGCTGCGGGTGGCCCTCTCCCTGTGACACTGGGCGTTTGAGTAGTGGTATGACGGCCACGATGGCCTCGTGGTCAGCTCCCGGGTGTAGCTGTGGGCTGACCTGCGCGTGCGCAAAAGGGATATTAGAGAAAGCCAGGTCCAGGACATGTCCGCAATCCTGGGTTGCCACCCCAACTTCGCTGATAAGAGAGAGATTGTGGCCGTCTGCCCAGCCTGCGATGTCATCTCCCCGGTTCCCGTTCCTCGTCCCGGGCTCCCAAGAGTAGTGATGCGCGTTGAAGTCACCCGCGATCAAAGCTCGCTCCGGGGGTTTGAGTTCTAGCAGTATCCCTGTTGTGCGGCTGTGGGGGTCGCGGGGTTGTCTGTACACGTTGACGATAGTCGTCGTTTTGTCGACCACCAGCCACAGTACGTCTCTCGTGTGGACAGGCCTCTGCTGCTCCACCGTCATCCCTATCCCTTTGCGTGTGTAGGTCAATACTCTTGGTCTGGTTCCTTCGCTGTCCCAGAAGTCGACCGGGACGAAAGAGTCGAAACCCGGGTGCGTGTTCAGTTGCACGTTTCCGTCCTTCCAGCCCGTCCAGGGTTCCTGGACGAGGACCACATCTATCTGAGCCTCCCAGCAGAGCTGCAGGAAAGCCGTGTGCGCCGGGGAGATCTTTCCGACGTTGCCCTGCGCAACGCGTAGCATCCGTGGGGTCGCCGCTCTCGGCTTACGTCTCCGAGTCGAGTTCGAGGTGGGTGTAGGCATTCGCGACGTTGTAGTTTGGCTTCTGTGCTGCCCGTTGGCTCCTGCTTGGCATGGGTAGCACGGGACGGTCGATGGAGGTGTTGTCGGGGGAGTCTTCGCCTTCGCCTTCGTCCGCCTCGTCTTCATCCATGCTGCTGCTGTCAGTGCTTCCGTCACCGAGGCAAACGATCGAGCTTGCGGAGGGCGTTCTCGTGCGCGCGCGCTTGGCGCCGGGTTGCTGGTTCTGGCTGGTGGAGGTAGGGACGCCTGCCGCCTCCTGGCTACTGTCGGATCGAGTAGCCTTGTACAGAGTGTCCGATGCTTTCTGGCCGGCCTTCCGGATCCGAGCCCGCTCCTTTCGACCGGGAAGGGAGACGACGCCGTTTACGGCCGAGGGCCTCGCTGGGCAGTCTGTGTGGCTGGCTTGGAAGGGGCCGCAGCAGTTGGCACATTGGGGCCTGGCCATGCAGGGTCCCGTTTCGTGTGAATCGGAAGGTCTTCCGCAGTTGCTGCAGATCGGTCGTCGTCCGCAGAACCGGTTGGAGTGGTAGCCCTGGCAGCCGGGGTCGTGTCGGATGAGCGTCCTTCGTTTCTTGACGGGCAGAGATCTGCCGCTTTGGTTGAAGAGCCTGAAGGGCGTGACCTCTGATGTGAATGATATGAGCCAAGATATTTCGTTCGTGACTGGGTTGGGCCCAAGGCGGGACGGTCGAGCAAGGACAGGCTTCTGTCCTGTCTGTGCGAAGACCTCATCTTCAACGAGTGTGGCTGGGTCCAGGACGTCCCCGCCAATGCTGTGTAGTTTTGTTGGGCATCGCGGCACAACGTAAGTGTACCACTTGATAGGCGTCTCGACCTGGTGGGCGCCGAGGCATTCCGCCAGCTTTGCCTTACTTGCAAGTAGTCTTTCCTGTATTTGCTTGTTTCGCGGCTTCAGAGAGTAACCTGTGCTGATATGGTAGACGTGGGGAAGGTCCGCTAGCCCCAGGCCAACGGCCTTACAGACGATCTGTCGTACGGCGAACGGTGCGATCTTCCGAGCGGCCGCTAAGCTTTCTTCCGGGACGCGGGCAAAGATGCGGAGGTCCTCCTTCGGCTGCGCCTGCGGCTGATCCTCGGCGGGGAGTGTGGCCTTCGGGCGGGCAGAGCTCTGGCAGCTCTGGCCGCTCCGGGTCGCCGCAGTGGTGTTGCCCGCCATCGGTGCGACGACAGCCGCCCAACTCCGGGCCGCTATTGGGCTTGTCTCGTGATTGATCAGTCTCTTGAGGGTTTGAATGACATAGGCAGTGGCTTCTTTCGCGATCTGCTTTCTAGAACCGTCAAAGCTGGCGACAACGCTGTCGACGGACCGTGCAATGGTCAGAAAGACGTCTTTCCGTGCCTCGTACTGTCTAGCTTCTTCTGCAAGGGCTGTCAAGACGGACCCTGTGGCAGATCCGCTCGGAGCAGATGCGGTAGAGGCTGCGGGCCCCTCGGCCGAGGTAGGGGCGTCGGTGGTGGCATCAAGCTGGCTTCCCGTTAGGCTGGGCCGGGTCGGCTGTGCCTCGGCGTCGCGGCGTCGCTTAGCTCTTGAGGTGGGGTTCGGCTCCGGAGGTGTCCCGGAGCCTGGTTCGGGGTCGGCTTGGTCGGCCGACATCAGTCCGGTGCCCGACGGCGGCTGTGAGGCCATCGCGGATGCGGGCTCCGGCAAGGGGAGGTGAAGAGTTTTCGGCTGTTAGTAATTTGGTGGTAGGCTCACTCATTCACTAACAGCAGATGCCAAGAAAAATTAGGCGAGAGGGAAGTTGCTATTGGGCAGTTAGTTAGTAGAATTTGGCATCTTGTGGATCGTTCTTGTAGTTAGACATAGAACGACACTCGCTGTCTTCAATATACGACTAGATTGTGCCTTCGAAGCTTCTATGTTCCATGTCCATCCATAACTACACCGTCTCATCGTGATGGCCATTGCTACAGATTCTCGTGTGATGGGTCAAAGGCCCTTTCGAGACTGCTTTCCCACGTCTACAGCCCTATAATGCCAACGACAGTAGGGGGGTTCTGCTGTGGACGACAGAATGTGCGTGTCATCAATCAGGCGACAGCTTCTAATCGTTGTGTCAAGCCTGCGTCGAGACGTTCTCGCAGTTACACACCACATCGGTCATGCATCAAATACTGGCCAAATTGGCGCAATTCGCATCCAGGACATTGAAAGGGAACGAAAGCAATGAAATGTTGCTAAAGGCCGAATTGCACAGCACGCCATCTCGATTCTTCTTCTCCTATCGTGATGTTGGTGGGAAGCGGCCATCTACACCCACTTTTGTGGCTTGACGGATATGGAAACAACTTCGGAATGCCTCTGAAAATGTCTTGAACGGCAGAAATGGTGCGAGCAGGGATCCCGTCCGTGGCAATCGGTACGAGCTCGTTGAGGTCGGCGGGTGGATCTAGAAGTGCTGCGAAGCAAATCTAGTGGTCGCTGGCTACAATCTGATTTTGGTCGTAGCCGTATGGTGCTCGCCTTGCCCGATTTCGTGGTGTACCCAGAAATGCACATCTGGACCCAAGGGGACCCACCCGATTCGCCAACCTTCATACCCGACCACTCTCACATGAGGGACAGTCATGCTCTGAGCCCGATTCTGGCTCGTAGTGGGGCTACGCCCGGCTGTGTCAGGGGTGTCTGTGAGCCATCCGGATACATCCCCCCCACGTCAGAAATACCGTACTCGGGAGCTTCGTAAAATGCTCCCCATGCTGCCATGGTCAGAAATGATGATAGCACGCATACGCCCACGAATGCGTCAGACAGAGCCCGATTTAGCGGGCGGGGGTAGCAATGAGCGTTGCCGGGCAAGATCGTGAGTATCGCAGTTCTCTCCGCCTGCGAGGAGACTTCACTTCCAACATGTGGAAATAAGCGATCGCAGACGGGACTGGCAATTTGGGCAGCGACGATGGCCGCCTCTGGACTGCGTAACCTGCGTCTCTGTAGAGTATAAACGCGTAGGCAGGCTCCGCGTTGCTCATCCTGGCATCCGCCAGTGAAAGACTCAACACGCAATAGATTTCCATCCATCAATTTTGAACATGTTCAGATCAACGATCGCCAAGCTTCGTTGCATGCGCTGTTCTAAGGAGGCCGAGCTCACTCCGACTGACGACCTCGAAGACGCGGGCATGGTGAAGATCGGACGCAACTTATATTACTGCTTCACTTGTGCCAACGTGACGGGACACCCGAAGGCACCAGGGGCTGCAAAGCTGTCGAAGCACACTGGATGAGGAGCGGGCTGCCTGCGCCGCATGCAGTTCGTCCGCAGCCCCCGAGACAGGGTGCAAGAAGGCGGTAACATCAAACGATTGGTCAAAGCGCGCCTTCTCATAGCGCCTAGTAGCCTGAGAAGCACAACTTCGAAACAAATACTACTCAATTCCTGACGGCTGCATCTACAGTATATCGTTCTGGTGACTTCTTCCTCAAGGCGCATTCATGGACTCGTGCACGTTTCCGAATTCCTCGGCGCGCGGGAGAATGCATTCAGGAGACACGATGATATTGCCTCTCGGTGGTACCCCACTTTTAAACAACAAACTCTCCGATGCAACGCTCGCCGGGTCCTGGCAAACGACGGAGACAAGTCTCATCGCCTACGATTTCGCTGTGACAAACCTCTCCATCTGTCCTGATGAACCATCCTATGCGGCGGCATCCGCTCTTGACGGGAGGCGAGTCGCATGTGCAGAGATATTTGTTGCAAAACTCGTTGAACCCTCACCGCTTGCAGTCTGGTGAGGCCTCGGCGCGTCACCCGTGCAGTCGGTGCTTCTGCGTATTGTGAATTCACCGTCTCCCACTCCGAAACATCGCCGGACTGCCCGTTCTGCGCCTTATTTCCAACCACACTGTCGAAGAGGCCATGTATACTGATGTCCCGTGCATCCCCCGACGTGTCAGCCTCCCCCGCGCCATCAGCGACGGCGCCGTCGGGCATCTCTTGCTTCACAACACGCCCGCCCGTATCCCGAAGGGCCGGACCGTCGGGTAGGCGATGGCGAAGCTGCGTCCCATTACCGGTGTCTTTGGCGGCTTGCGAATTCCTGCCGTGACTGATTGGCGAAGCATCAACATGACGAGCACCATTGCCGTCGTCGCTGTTGTTCTGGAGGACGTTTGCCTCCGCAGCGGCGTCAATATCCATACTGCCAGTCTCCGCCGTCATGTTGTCGCGGACGGAGGTGTCGCCTGCCTGTGCGTTCTGTGCGGACTGGCTGCACGTTTGCGCGCGCCGTGGGCCGTGTTGGGGACCATTGCAGGCCGAGTCGTTCAAAATCTGCGCCAACTGGTGCGGTTTCGTGTCAGCGTGTGCTGTATCTCAAAGGTGGGCTCTCGCTGCCGCTTACAAATGCATTCACGTCAGGGATGTCTTGACCTTCAGGTACGTGGATGGCACCGTCCAGCCACCGATATGTCGGGTTGTAGTAGACGACAGCCGAAAACACATCGGCAAATTCGCCTAATCGAAGCGCTTTGCCCTGGGCGCTGGTGCCAGACTTTCGGACCTTGTCCTTCGCCCTTTTCTCTCGGGCCTCAACTTCAGTCTTTGGTGGTGAACCGCCGGTCATTGTCGCTTCGATCCAGTGGTACTTCTCAGGGAACGTCTGTGCTGCCAAGTCTGCTGAGGCTCTGGTGGAGTCTCTTTGGGACGGCAACGCAGCAGCGTTCGCACATATGGATTAAAAGCCAGTGTGAAGCGGTCTTCAGATCCATCGACATCCAAATCTTCATCAGGCTTGACTAGATGATTTCCTCCTGTACCGCTACAGTTGGAAATGGCTTTTGGGTGCTGTTCCGGAACTGCTGCTTCCCTTCTGTTCCGTGCCACCCCACTCGAAGCGGTTTCTGATCCAAAGTCCATTTTGGTCCTGGGTCGAGTGTGGCTCCAGCAGGAAGTGGCTTGCTGCAGTTCAATCTGCCCTGGCCCTGCATTATTCGACCACAAACAACACCCCCCCCCCCCCCCTCCCCGGGGGGTCTCGACCGCACGCCATGGCCCAGGTCGAGCCGCGCTGGGCCGAGAACGATGCCCCATGTCGCCTGCGCCCACAACACTCGAGGACTGACCCGAACTGTCGGGAAACAAATCTGCCAGGTTCTTTTGGCTGCTAGGTCTACGCCGCGGCCTATGTTCTCGGAGGCTGGAGCGGCATGTTCTGACAGTCTCCTAGATGCCCCCGACAGCTCCGTCGTTCCAATAACCGTGCTTCTCAACGATCTGCTCTAGTCGTCTTCTCAGCTACGCCTACCATTCCTGCGACCATTGCTACCAAGCCCACTACTGAGACCAGTGCATCTGTCAGAAAAACCTCTCCTTCGTTCAGACGTCTTTCTACCATGTACACTTTTGCGCTTCGGTGTTTCTTCACGCCATGACTACGTTTTGGCTCATCATTCTCCTCTGCGGCACCGTCAATGCTCTACATGTCACTATACGTATCTTGGGAAGAAAGATGAGAAACTCGAGCTGCACCTGACGCGCGCAGCTTGGCTGTGACGAGCCAGCGTCAAACACGAGAGATGTTCGGATTAGTGGGGTTCAGGATCATCGAGATGCCATATCCTGGATCTTTGGCCTGGTATTCCGTAGATAGGAGAGAACACCACACCGCAATTGACTATACTCAATTTCTTTCGCCAGCCAGTGAGTGTACTTACTTGTGACGAGATGGCGATGCTGCTTGTCGTAAGCCTGATGTGATCGACACTCCCTGTGAAGCGTGGGCTTGCTAGCGATGCGCTTTGTTGGGAACATCAGTGCCGCCAACGACAGGACGTGGCGTCCAAGATGAGAATGTAAACAGACTCGCTTTTGTCAATCACCCACGACCAAGCTTGATCGACCGGGAGCCCTCGGCATAGGATGAGTTGAGCTTGATGGTGGCTCTGTCTAGTGAAGGGCTTGTTCGATCGCATGTATTGCCGTGTAGGGGCCTCTTATGCGTGCCTCGCGCTGGCAGAAGTGACAGCTTGTGTCTTCGGGTCGCCGCCACAGCCAACGACGACCATCCACCTCTTAGAATTGATCGAAGCCTGCTATCGTGCACTCACTGGCAGTCTTTGGCTACTGTCAGGAGACACTCCGCGAGGGCAGTAAACGACCTGACTGGTGTCTGTTCCAAGTCCAGCATCCCAACTGGTCTTCGACAATAGTCGTCGTCTGGGACAACTGTGCGGTAGGGGTTGCGCTGTCCGTCAGATAGCCGAGAACGAGCCAAGATTGCGAAGCAAAGCGCTGTAAGAGTACGGGGCGATGAGCAATCATTTCCTAAAACAAGTACGTCGACTTCCAAAGAAGCCGCGGCCCACGAGTCATGAGATAGCTCAATCAATAAACAGGTTAATCATTCAATCACGGTGCATGAGGCCGGCACTGCGTACACTTCGGTTATCCCTAGTCGTGCCCCGTAAGGTCGACGAACCAACAAACTTTACACCTGCACGCTGCTAGCGAGCCGGTACCACAGAATAGCGGGGTTTCCCTGCACGAGCGTGTTTGCTCGAAGTTATCGAGGCATTCGTGGGCCGTTCATTTCCCGGGACTTGGATCCGGTCTTGAATATGGAGCGAATGCACTGGGGATCCTGTGCGATTCTCGGCGCAGGTGTCCTACTCTCCGGGTTGGGGCCATTTGCCATGCTGTCAAAACAGCGTTATTGTGGGAGAACGGCACGTGACACTTGACGCATGCAACACCCTGGACATCACTACATAGTACCTGCCTCTTCAGGATACCTGCCTTTTCGGGACACTTGCATCCTGATACGGTGCTGACTCTTGCGTCACCATTCAGCCTTGGCCGTGCATCCTGATTGGCTGTCATCTCCAAAGGAAATGCGTCCCTGGCCCAGTCCTCGAAGAACGTATGTTCTGCCCCCTCCAACAGACTCTCGGAGACAGCTAGCCCCCACGGCCGCGTACCTTTCTCTGTTCTGACAGGGAGGCTAGGGCCCTTGTGGGGGTTGTGCGGTACTGATGGATGCAGGCGGACGGACCCTCGTTCACGGGCTCGTTTCCTCCTTCGGCACCACAGGCTGACGGAGACTCTGCAAAAGGCCCTTGCGCCCCTGCTTCGACCCGACAGTACGGTAACGGCGCAGAACCTTATTACCCACATGTCTCAACCCCCCTGTGCGCTCAGGGACATCGTCGGCAATATCTCATCCATGTCTCACACGCGCTGATGGCAAGAGATGCCGATTGCGAGAAAGTACGAGGAGGAAAGGAGAAAGTTGCTCATGCAGAAGCCCCCATCAATCGGACCACAGTGCACCAGTCGATCATGAAGAAGAATGGCACAGCATGTTCGGAAGTGGGCATGTGCCCGGTCTGATGTTTATGCGGAGACGCCTTGTTCCGGTCCGAAATACAGGAAATGAAGTACCAAGAGCCAGACGCGTGTTTGCTTCCATTGCGATCGTCAAGCCAATCCAGCTCTCCCATCCCAAGGCATCGTAGGGGCGGCGATGGTGTCCACTGCCATGGCATCCACTGCAACGGCAAGACCGTTGACTTCCAAACCCAGTTGGTCCACCCTTCGCATTGTCAGCCCCTCTTGCTTGGACAATGGAAATAGATCAACTCACAGCCATACAGCGGTTTTGTACGTCGCGTTCTTGCTTTCAATGATGTCTGCAGCGGTATCAATCTCCACAATAGCGCAGGCTACCATATCCAGAAGCTCCAGCACTGAACGCATCAAAGACACGGAGCTGTAGATATCAGCTACCTACTGGCCTTGCACCAGACCGGATTTTCGGTGACAGCAACATACTCTACATCTTGCAATTCGCATCGATCCAAGTGAACACTGCCGGAATTGCCTGGGCTTGCAATGTCGGGTATCCCCATGGTTTGGAGGTGGTCGTCTCTTGTCGGTATTGGGTCCTGGGGGAAGGCCCTCTGCGCCGTTGTAGAGCTCGGACCACACGTGGTGTCGGACTGGCTTCGTGACGCCGGACCGGATTCTGCTGCATGTGGTGTAGACGTTGTGATTGGCCAGGTCGCTGACGCCGTTGCCGAGGGGGGAACATGACGTCAGTTTCGAGCGGAAAGGATCGAGGGTGTTCAGAATGACGGACGATTATTCACAACGATGAGAAACTGGTGTGCACACCACGAGCATGTCCCTTACGACCACGGCGATGCCTTTGCCTTTAATACGGTGTGACGCGCGCCGGCGGCATGATACCGTGATCGTACTTCATGACACAGAAGCCGTCTTCGAGCGCGCCAGTGATGTTCGTTACCAGTCTGTCGGGACCATGTGGTTGTTTGCTTGCGAGAGGAAACCATACTCCGGTGTCTTGAGTGACTGTCGTTAGGAATGAAATTGGGCATCTCACCCTTCACACAGCTCGCATAAACCATTGAGTCGGAGCCAAGTGTGGACAGAAGGTGGTCCAAGCTCAGTATTGGTGCCGACCCAGCGTATCCATCGCCGGTCCATGGACCCTATTCATCATTGAGCTATTCTTCATTGCGCTGGCCCCGTCAGGTACAAGCACAAAGGACACGCGGGAGGACGGAAGATGTCGTGGCCCTAGTCAGAAGGAAGGCGTCTTGATGTGTTCGATGTTCGCAGTTGCTCCAACATAGGCGCAAAGCAGAGTGCTGATCTCGTCGAATAACCTGAAAGCCGCATCCTGGCGCTAGCATGGACCCGCCATTGTGGAGCCTGCGGTGGCCTGCGCGCATCGCCGTCTTCCTATCAGGAGCGAGCATTCATGGATTGGTGCGTACGGGATGCCTGTGTACGGCGCGAGGGGGACTTGAAGATGGGTGCTGTACCCGGTGGTGCCGAGTGGAAGCATGGAGCCTTGAAGTGAGAAAACAAGGAATTGGATGCTGTGCCACCGGACGGACGGGCTTGAATAGAACACGCGCGGCAAGTATCTCGAGGGCCTTGGACAATCTGTCGCCCCGCCTCGTGTTGGAAGAAGACGTTTCCTCTGCCACCAACTTGTGGGCCCAGCAATGCTAGGCCAGGCTGGGATGAGCCTTGTCACGGCTAGAGGGATGGACAGCATTCAAACAGGCATTTGGCCCACTCGAAGAACCTGGTGTGAGCGGCCTTAGGGGCCCTCAAGGGTCCTCCTCGGTGGTCGTCGATCGGATTTGCCCTGGGGGTGACCGGCGCGAAAGCAACTCGCGCAGCCAACCAGGTTGTGCACTGTTCTTATTGTGACTGCTGGTATAGCATTGACAAGGTGGGTGGTGACGGGCTCGGACATGGGACAGAAATGAGCCGCCTGCCACCTGGTCCGGGTCGTCACGGAATCATCTATTGCGCTGTATCTTCAGTCGAGATGTTCAGGCAAGAACCGTTCGAGTGCTAGTTTGAATTCTTCCTAGAGGACGTCCGTTGCGCCACGACCAGACCATGGCGGCTGTCATGGAAGAGGAGGAAAGACACTTCAGCTAATGATGGCCATTGACGAGTCGTTATGTGCACTTTTCACGATGGGCGACTGCGTCAGACTCGCATTATCTGTTACACCCTGCGCGCTCAGCATGGTCAGAATCGGTCGCAACGTGGGTTCCCAAGTTAACCCAGACGGAGAGAGGAAGAGACGTACGGGAGTACATGACAACGCTCGCACAATGGTCACTGTCCTCATGCGAGACCCAAGAATACTTGATAGCTCGCTCAGGGTGCGTGGCGAGCAGACCGATCAAGTCGGTTGTCTTCCGGCCCCGACTCCGGCAATGTCTCTCGGAGGACTGTTTGCCATGACGGTAGTAGACGCCTTGGAGGCCTGCTGCCCGTCGTCTATGCCCCTGATTGGCGTCTCTGGGGAAGACGGCGGCGAACTTTTCCTCCACGGTTCTCCACGGCAGGCGAAGATCGTCACGGAATTATGCAATGAAATCGACCTGCTCTATGGTGTAGGGTCTGTTGCAGTGGGGATGGCTGCTTGGGCGGCGGGGTCGACGGTGTCGGCGTGGCGTCAGTTCGCGACACTGAAGGTCTCCGGGAAGTCGGTCCGGGCCGCAGCCTCGGACAGCCGTCAGCTCTTGTGGGCCATGCCAGTAGTGCCTGGCGGATACACGAAAGCCCTCAGGAGATCTGATGGTATGGGGCCAGTAGGTCGCGGAAGCTGACAATCTGCACGAAGAGAAGATATCCAACTCACGCAAGCGCGGGAGGCTGATCTGAGGACGGCCGTAAGAGAGGATTGCCGGGCAGGAAGGCAGTTCCGAACCGAACTCTTGACGCGTGGGCCTTTGCGTGGTTTCTTGCGGTGAAGTGCAAGCCTTCCTCTCTCCTAGCCTGCCGGCGACATCCTCTGTCGCGCATGACCGAGTAAGTGCCCCCGTTGACTCGACTTGAGAAGGAGAATTGGAAATCATCTTCGAACTATAACGGTAGTCTGTCGACGGCGTTGGCTTTCGCGGATTGTCAGCAATATTCTTGTCCCTGGCGTTGCGGTGGCCGCGACTATGGAGTAAAGTATGATTACCTAGATAAAAGCGCACAAAGGCGGCCACAAGAGCGCATCCGAGTAACACACCTGGTCTATATTGCGTCTCATACATAGGCTGTCCCTGCGTAATCCGCATGGTAGGAGGACAGGGAACACGGCTGTTCTGCTCCGTCTACGCGTGTGACTGGCAGGGTAAGACGAATTGATGAATACAACGCTATGAATCCGACACCCTCCACCCGCCTACTCAACCCCGCTGGTTCTCTATCGCCCAATCGCACGTACTCGAGGCCGACGATGAACTTGGTCGTTCAAGTCGCTCAACATGGCTGGTTGCAGCCCAATCGAGAAGACTCCGTAAGGCGGGCTGGTGGCCGGGTCGAGGACGGCACGGGCGACTTACCGTGGTGGGAGCCTCTCGATCGGGGTTCGCTAGGGACCAGAGATGGCAGGGTGCGCGTACAGAGGTTCCCTAGCCAGCCATGCTGCGCTTGCCTCCCATTCTTGGTCTAGCCTTGAGCTGC